AAAAAAGCACAAGGTTGTTAGGTTCCTATCGGAAGGTTACATGAAGATATTTGACACGGTTTGGCCGAAAGTTGTGACGTAAACAGTAGTTGTCTGCTCTTTCGAGCGGTAGGGAAGTTTTGTAATCTAGTTCAGCGTCAAAGATCTTTTGAGATGTGTGGTGGAAATACGAGAGAGAGAGAGAGAGAGAGAGAGAGAGAGAGAGAGAGAGAGAGAGAGAGACAGACAGACAGACAGACAGACAGACAGACAGACAGACAGACAGACAGACAGACAGAGACAGAGAGACAGACAGACAGACAGACAGGCAGACAGACAGACAGACAGACAGGCAGAGACAGAGACAGAGACAGATAGATAGAGACAGACAGACAGACTGAGACAGAGACAGATAGATAGAGACAGACAGACAGACTGAGACAGAGACAGATAGATAGAGACAGACAGACAGACTGAGACAGAGACAGATAGATAGAGACAGACAGACAGACTGAGACAGAGACAGATAGATAGAGACAGACAGATAGACAGAGCGCCAGAAACAGACAGATTAGGGAGGAGGGGGGAGGGAGGGCAGGTAGACCATCAAACATAATAAATCCGACAGACAAACCGTTTGACAGACCGACTGTAGTTTGTCACGTTCTTTTCTGTCCCCGGGGTTTTATGCACCCTGCATAATTAAGCAAAATTTGATAATTTTTTTTGCATAATTTCTGATTATTGTCTTTTATCATTCTTTGTTAAAAATAACAGAATCGCATAATTTCACATTTTTGGGCTTAGTTTGCACAATTTCATTTTAAAATTTTTAAATTTTATTTTATTTTACTTTTTTTTTGTTTAAAACCGTGAGGACACTCTTCTTCTGTTTCTTCCTCAGATCCCATGGCAATCGGCCTCGTCGCCACGAAGACGGACCCCTCTGCTATAGGGATGGCAGCACAGCTGAATTCTATAAACAATTGCCCTTATCTGCTGTCTAGAATTCCTGTCCTGAAGAAAGTCATGGATGTTTTCAACTTAACCTCACGGTATTTTTTTTAAAGTCTGTTGCTGTTGTTGTTGTTGTTGTTGTTGTTGTTGTTGTTGTTGTTGTTGTTGTTGTTGTTGTTGTTGTTGTTGTTGTTGTTGTTGTTGCTATTATTGTTGTTGTTGTTTTCGTTGTTCCTGTTGTTATTGTTGTTGTTCCTGTTCCTGTTGTTGTTGTTGTTGTTGTTGTTGTTGTTGTTGTTATTGTCGTTAATGTTATTACTGTTGTCGTCCTTGCTTAATTTTTAGTTCGTATAAATAGAAACTATTAACATATTAAATTTTTTAAAGCGTTGTTTGTTTAAACGGCTCAGCAACGGTTCTTTCTGGAAAACTTCTTCAGCAACAACAATCGTCGTCATCATAACCTCTATTATTCTCACCCTCGTCATCATTATCATGACCTCCATTATCATCACCATGGCCATTATCATCATTACCTCCATTATTATCACCATCACCATCATCATTATAGCCTATATTATCCTCACCATCCCCATCATCACCATATCCTCCATCATCATCATCATCATAACCTCAATTATCATCACCATCATCATCATCACTTCCTTTTTCATCATTGCAGGCAGCAGGGAATAAAAAAACCCCTCCTTTGTCATCATCATCATCATCATCATCATCATCATCATCATCATCATCATCATCATCATTGTAAGTAGCAAGGAATAAAAAAGGGTTGAGACCTGTAGAATTTTCAAATTTAATGCAGGACCTCCTCTATCGTCATCATCATCACCATCATGACCTCCACTATCATCGCCATTGTCATCATCCCCACCTCCATTGTCATCACATTCGCCACCATCATCACACTCTATGAACCCACCACTAATAGTTTTCACTATGATCATTATTCATTAGCATTGCCATCACTGTCATGTGCCCTGTTGTCTTCATTATTGCCACTCTTTAATTTGAGACAAGGACAGCGTATTCCACGACCATAGAAGCGACTTTTTCCAAGACCTAGAGTCTGTGGAAGATGTCATGAATTTAAATATCGTTATGCTGAATCACTTACCAAATGTGCGACATCGTGGTGAAATCAGCCGCAAGTCAAAATAATAAAATCGAAGAATCGAAGAAACAGGCATTTTTCAGCCAATTTGGCAACTTTTATTGAATTCCAGAATATAACGCACATTTTCGTTCGAATTTGTCTGAAAAACGTTGATTAAAGGCACAAAATATGTAATTTTTCAGTTTTCAAGGACTCTCAAGCTACTGAAGTTACCGAACTTTGGTGGCTACTATCTCGCTAATTTTAACACTGAAACCAGGCGACCTCATCTGCTTCAACTGCAAATATCTCGACTTCTATTTTATTTAAATGGGTATTTCTTTAATCAAAAGTACGGAAATGAATTAGCCTTTAGATGATACCAATAACTCCACATGACCAAAAGTTGACGAGCGCCTGATTCCACCACGTCGTGACACAAATACAATGTATAATAAGGGAATGAGTTCTTGTTTTTTACTTTATATTTGTGTTTGTTCATTTAAATACAATTTTTTAAAATACAAAATTATTGCCACTCTTTACGAGACAGGTACATCGTATTCCTCGACCACAGAGGAGACTTGCTCGAAGACCTAGAGTCTGTGGTAGTCTCATGAATATAAATATCTTTAGGATGCTGAATCACTTACCAAATGCAATGCATGATAAGAAAATGTGTTTTTGTTTTTTATATATTTGTTTGTTCATTTAAATTTAAAAAATTTAATGTTAAAAATTATTGCGACTCTTTACGAGACAGGTACAACGTATTCCACGACCACAGAGGCGACTTTTTCCAAACCTAGACTAGTCTGTGAAAGATCTCATGAATATAAATATCGTTAAAATGCTAAATCATTTTCCAAATACAATGTATAATAAGGGAATGAGTTTGTTGGTTTTTTTCTACTTTATATTTTTGTTTGTTCCTTTAAATCAAATATTAAATTTTTAAAAATTATTGCTGCTCTTTACGAGACAGGTACAACGTATTCCACGACCACAGAGGCGACTTTTTCCAAGACCTAGACTAGTCTGTGGAAGATCTCATGAGAATATAAATATCGTTAAGCTGAATCACTTACTAAATACAATGTATAATAAGGGAGTGAGTTTGGTGGGGGGGGTTTTAACTTTATATTTTTCTTTTTAATAAGGGAATGTGTTTATTGTTTTACTTTATATTTTTGCTTGTTCCTTTAAATCAAGTTTTAATTTTTTTTTTAATTATTGCTGTTCTTTACGAGACAGGTACAACGCATTCCACGACCACAGAGGCGACTTTTTCCAAGACCTAGACTAGTCTGTGGAAGATCTCATTAATATGAATATCGTTAGAATGCTGAAATACTTATTACTTATCAAATACAATGTATAATAAGGGAATGTGTTTTTATTTTTTAATATTTTTTTTTTTTCATTTAAATAAAAGTTTTTAAATGTTAAAAATCATTGCCACTCGCTTTACGGGACAGGTACAACGTATTCCACGACCACAGAGGCGACTTTTTCCAAGACCTAGAGGTGGACTTGGAGGTACAGTATCGGTCTGATGCCGTGAACTTCACATCTTGCTGCTCGGAGCAGATGGAGCCGTAAGTAGGTCACGATGACCTAGATATGGTCGCTTTTAAGCACAAGGGGGCTATCCCGAAAAATGCTGTTGTGAGAAAATCGAAGGTAAAGTTTTGGACTCTTCTTCGGTTTCTTTAAAAGACAAGGAGAGTTTTCTCTATAACCAAACAAATATACACACCAATGATCCCAAAATTCTCCTATAGGTAGGGAAATGTCCACCTTTGGTGTAGGACGAGATTTCTGGAAACCCCCGAAATCTGGGTTAGCCCGCTTGTCCTTAAAAGCGACCATATAGATCCAGCCTTTTTAAAAGTCTGTGTAAGATCTCATGAATACAAATATTGTTATGCTGAATCAATTACCAAATACAATGTATAATAAGGGAATGTGTTTTATTTTGTACTTTATATTTTTGTTTGTTTATTTAAATCCACAAAAAAAAAAAAAATATTATCAACAATTTAAAGAAAGCTTATTCGAGGATTTGGGACCAGATGTGTTATACGAATTTTTTTTTTATTCACTTGACTTTGATCTCATTATTCCAGGAAAGGGGGCTGGGGGTGATTTAGAAAGCGTATTACTTTGTTTTGGATACTTTTTATGTAGGTGTTTTAATTATTCCACATCAACATAATTTTGATCATTTTTTGGTAGCCTATCTCTACCTATCCATTTTTCTACATATCTGTCTACCCATCCATCCATCCATCCATCTATCCATCCATCTATCCTTCCATCTATCCTTCCATCTATCCTTCCATCTATCCATCCATCCATCCATCCATCCATCCATCCATCCATCCATCCATCTATCCATCCATCTATCCTTCCATCTATCCACCCATCCATCCATCCATCCATCCATCCATTTATCTAGATCTATATATCTATTCATTTCACTTTTACTTGATATGCACAAACAATTCAGTATTTAACTGTTGAAAATGGGGCTGGTTTGTTACATAAGATAATAAGTTTATCTACAAAGAAACACCATGGAATAATGGGAGGTGGTCGTATTCAGCAAGATTCCCACTTAACATTCAATATTGTACTGATGCCTCATTCACTTTTTGTTGTTGCAGGGAGAGACTTTTCCAACTGGATCCGATCAGCGAAACTCCTGTCAAACCTGTACACCTGAGGAATGAACCCTTCCTGAGGTTTGATGCCGTTAATCGGATGGACAAGAACTTCTTTTTCGGTTTGAAATACCTCAGTACTATTTACTAATAAACCTTGCTTTGCATTATGCGTGTTTTACGTCCCCATCGACACTATTTAGATAATTTGGATGGTGCCTTTCTTCGACCCTGTCTGTTAGGTTCATTAATATAATTGTAACGCAAAATCCCAGTAGACAGACGGAAATACTCCTTAAATAAAATTGTTTTCCACCCAAGAATCAAACTCGCGTTTTATGCATGCAATGGCAAAGTACATAGCTGCTATACCACAGGTGCTGATCGCTCTTCAACCGCTGGTACAGTCATTATATGGGGGCTCTCGTGGCCTAGAGGTTAAGGTGTTGGCCTCTCATTCAAAGGTCCCGGGTTCGAATCCGGGTAGCGACCAAAAAATTTTCTTCTCTAAAATTGTCTCCTTTCACCTCCTTTCCTGCTCTCTAGCAATGTTCTGTTGTCTGCTTTCATTTCCACTTTCTGTCCCCACCCCCTCACCTCCTTTGCCCCCTCCTCTGGGCTCCTGACTCTTTCTGCAGCCTTTCTACTGCTACTCCTTGGCTCCTCCTTACTGCTGTCTTTCTACCACACCCCTGATCTTCTGGTAGGAAAGATCTACACCTAGCCTTCTCGGACAAGGGCGAAAAATCTCGGAGGGCCCGTGTGCAAGTTGCGCACGTTAAAGATCCCTTGATGGTCTAAAATCGATAAGAGTAGGCTTCGGCCGCCACCCGGGCAAAATTCAAAATTTCCTGCCAACTGAAAATATTAGGTGTGTCCCGCGCGCTCATATGACCTATGCAGTTGCGAGCGCCGTAAAACACTTTACAAAAACAAAAAACAAAGTCATTATATAAAACTTTTCTCGCCCTGTTCAGAAATATAGGCCACCAACTTTCCGTGAACACGTAGGCTACTTCTGTCCTGAGTCTCCAGCTTTGACCAGCTGTTTCCCATTTCCTTTATTTTATCTGAATCTAAGTCCGTCTTCCAAGTTCTTTTAGGTCTTCCTCTACTTCTCTTTCCTAGTAAATTTCACCTTAAAGCCTAGTGGGTAATGTTTGTGTCCTTCTTCCTCAAGGTGGCGTCCAATCAACTTCCATCAAAAATTTTCTTTTCCCGAATTCTGAATCTATCTATTTTTTTTTATCCCGAAGATAGCAAATTGATCGGTCTTTCAAGCGCAAGCGCAAATTCTGTGAGTTCTTCTTCATTGATTTTGAAATTTAAAAGTGTCATATTATACTCAATTTTTTTCTTTTTTTAAAATAACTTTTCTATGTGACTTTTTCAAAGAGACAATATATTATCTTTGGTAGGAATTTGAAATATATAAGGTACATCATTTCGTTGGGAATTTGTAATCAGCAGAGCAGAGTTTGACACAGAAAGGTTTGTTTGTTTGTTTGTTTGTTTATTTGTTTGTTTTGGGGTGATGTGTTTTATTTTGTTGGTGGTGGTGGTCTTTTTTTTTCATTTTATTTTTCTTTTAAAAAATATAATTCTATTTTATTTACATAATAATTATTCATTTATTATTTTTAATGTTTAATTAATTAGTTTTTATTTTTTTTAAAATCTTTTTGGTGGCTCTTCCCAACTCCCCAGACAAGTTGTTCACCGTCCTACTGCTCGACGTCACCGACGCGTCTGTGAACGCCAGCTCTGGCACGACCCCTGTCCTGTGGATGGTCACTGACATCGGAGGTCCCTACCCCAGCGAGGGGAGGACGATGGTCAACTACTCCATGCCCATGCCGGCCGTGAGTGAGCGTAGACTCTACATGTTCTTTGTCTTCCGACAGCCTGACCCCTTTCCCTCGAACTTTTCGACGAGCGAATATTGCATGGCTGATGGAATGGCGAGGTGAGTTAATAAAACTCCGCTGCGTACATAATGCTGCTGCCTTTGCTTAAATAACCTAACAGTGTTGATAGGGGCGTTAAACACAGCATACCATTTCACTATTTTCACATAGCGCTGCTGGACTTTTTAGGGTTCAAAAAGAGTTTTTATAAGAGTTTTACGGAACTTTCTACACGATTAGGTCATATCATTATCATATAAGTCTTAATGCCGACGGTAACAAGTGTTAAAAGAGAGTGACAAACACAAAAAAGAAGGAGACAAGGACGGTAGATGCTTGACAGGAAAGAAGGAGCAAACCATACTAGAGCACCCGCCAACTACACGCATGTTGAACTTTGTTGTGGAGGACTTTGGTTCAGAATTTTTATAATTTTTCTTGCGAAGGGAGGAGGGATGTTGAATTTCATTCCCCGCCATGCATATATGATGATAATAATAATATTGTACAGCCGGGTCCGCTTAAACCGAACACTTTTAATCCGAAAACGGCGGTAAACCGAAAGAAATTTATTAAAGCCTCAAATGTTTTTTCTTCTTTATATTTGAGCAAATTCTCATCTAAACCGAAAACCCGGCTAAACCGAAGAAATGCTGCTGGTGTCCTTGAACTGTCCCCGGGATTTTATGCATCCCGCATAATTTAGCCAAATTTGATAATTTTTTGCTTAATTTCTGATTATTTTCCTTTATCATTCTTTGTTAAAATGAACGGAATCGCATAATTTCACATTTTTGGGCTCATTTTGCATAATTTCAGAATTTTCTTGCATAAAACGACGGGGGCAGCTTGATTTCGAAGCGCACTCCACTGTACACGTAGTTGCTTTTCTTTGTAAGTGTTTTACGGCGCTCGCAACCTGCATAAGGTCATATTACGTGAACGCGCGGGACACAACTAATATTATTTTGAGTGGCTAGGAAATTTTGAATTTTGCCCGGGTGGCGGCCGAAGCCTACTCTTATCGATTTTAGACCACCAAAGGATCTTTAACGCGCGCAACTTGCACACGGGCCCTCTGAGATTTTTCGCCCTTGTCCGAGAAGGCTAGGTGTTGTTCTTTCCTACCAGAAGATCAGGAGTGTGGAAGAAAGACAGCAGTAAGAAGGAGCTGCAGAAACAGTCAGGGGCCCAGAGGAGGGGGCAAAGGAAGTGAGGAGGGGGCAGAAAGAGGAGATGAAAGCAGACGACAGAACATTGCTAAAGAACAGGAACGGAGGTGAAAGGAAACAATTTTAGAGAAGACAATTGTTTTGGTCGCTACCCGGATTCGAACCCGGGACCTTTGAATGAGAGGCCAACACCTTAACCTCTAGACCACGAGAGGCCGCCAGGCTCGTAGGAACTATTTTTTTAAAATTTGCCCGGGTGGCAGCCGAAGCCTACTCTTATCAATTTTAGTACCACCAAGGGATCATTAACGTGCGCAAATTGCTCACGGGACCTCGAGGGGGGAGAGGGGGGAGAGGGCAGAAAGTGCAATGGAGACGAAAGCATGACGTAGTTATCTGGGTTTACCGAAGTTACAGCAAACTATGGTCGGCTCTCCACACAGGTGCGATTTCAACATCTTCAAGTTTGTGAGCATGAACAACCTACACTTCAGCGGCATCAGCTGGGTGAGAAGTGAAGAGGACTACTTCAGCAGGATGGTAAGCTGTTGCTGTTGCTTTTATTGTTGCTGCTTTTGTCGTTGTTTTTGTTGTAGTTGTTGTTGTTGCTGTTATTGCTGTTGTTGTTGTTCTTGTTGTTGTTATTTTTTTCATTGTTGTTGCTGCTGTTGTTGCTGTTGCTATTGCTGTTGCTGTTGCTTTTGTTGTTGTTTTACTGTCGTTGTTGCTGCTGTTTTATCGTTGCTGTTGTTGTTTTATCGTTGTTGTTGCTGTTGCGGTTGTTGTTTTATCGTTGTTGTTGCTGTTGCTGTTGCTTTTTTGCTGTTGCTGTTGCTCTTGATGTGTTGCTGTTGTTGTTGCTGTTAAATTGTTGTTACTGTTGCTGTCGTTTTTGCTATGTTTCTGTTGTTGCTGTTGCTGTTGGTGTTGTTGGTGGTGTTGTTGTTGTTGTTGCTGCTGTGTTTCTGTTGTTGTTGTTGTTGCTGTTGCTGTTGCTGTTGCTGCGGTTATGGCTTTTGCTGTGTTGTGTTGTAGTTGATGTACAAAAATTTTAACAACCTACTAAATATAGACACAATGTAGGCCATCGCTTTGTCAAGGCAAGAACTTATATATTATAGTTTGATTCCCACTAGCCTCATGACACGGGGCTAGGCTGCTCTGATAGAAACGTTTTAGGATTTTTGGACACCCTCTTGATCTTTTAGCTGTCCCCGTGGTTTTAAGCACCCCGCACAATTTAGCAAAATTTTATTTTATTTTTTTTGCAGAATTTTTTATTATATTCCTTTGTCATTCTTTGTTAAAATTAACAGAATGGTATAATTTCACATTTTTGGGCTCAGTTTGCATAATTTCAGGATTTTTCTTGCATAAAACGACGGGGACAGTTTTACTTTAGCAAGCTGGCTGCTTTGATTAACATGCCAGGGTCACCCTAGTAGAGTAGTGTGGTATACTATAGATCTAACAGACAAATAAAATAGAGGCACATTTCGAACATGGGAATCGAACTGGCACCTTTAGCACTAACAGAATATTCTGATAATCTAATTATTACACCTCAGACCTCAGGTGTACTATTCACTCAGTTAATATATATGTATATATTATATACACATATATTACAAAAATTGGAACGATATAGCGAAGTATGGCTGCCCAAGGATGGCACAAAAATTCCATATTTCCAGGATCTCCGCTGGCAAAGCTTCTTACTCCCGTCCATCCCACGGACAATAAATACCCTATTATGCAGCCAGCAAGAATTTTTTTTTTAAAATACATGTACATCTCTTCACAGAAACTGTACGAAAACGACGCAAGTGCCATGGACAGTGCGTGCGCAGGACTCCCACACTACGGCACACCTTGCCCGGACCCGTGCGCAGCCACCCCGACCCCACGACCCCCGACCCCGCGACCCAGGGGTTCCGCCAGTGTCTTCTTCTCAATGGTGACCGTTGTTCAAGTCCTGGCACTGAGCCTGCTGGTATTAGTCGTGGTCCGGGAATAATGTGACTGTTACTGGTGCTAGTGCTGCTGCTGCTGCTGCTGTTGATGATGATGATGATGATTTTTTTTCGTTTCCTTACAGGGCCTGGTGGACTCCACGAAGAAATCTTCGAGCAAGAGCGAGGCTCTTTTTCGGCTCCATTGTCAATATTATACTTAGAGGCACCTCCACTCGTCCAAATAACTTGATGATGATGATGATGATGATGATGATGATGATGATGATGATGATGATGATGATAATGATGATGATGATGCTACGACAACTACACCTGCTATTACAGTGGAGCTGATGTTGTCCATGACGGTCACCCCTTGTCGAGGAGAAACACGTCCTTTGTTTGTTGTTGATAGGGTAGTCTCTTACTCTACTCTTGGCAGCAGTGGAATTAGAATGTTAATAGCTCTAGTATCTTTTTTTTAATGCAAGAAGGGGTCGGGGGAGG